CGCGTTACCCCAATCCGCAACAACAAAATGTAACGGCATACGAAAGAGGAGTAAAACGTAAAGGACAAAAAAAAGGTAAAATAAAAACATTAATAATAAATCACAAAAAAACAAAATGCTAAAAACATACGAAATCAAAAAAAAAAAAACACTGGCGAGTTCGTGATTTGGCCATAAAACTCTTTTCTTCTCTTCTACTAGTTGCTTCACTTTCTTTCCGGATACTCAGTAAAAAAAAAAAAAAAAAAAAGACACCTGCAATCCTCACGTGCGGAAACGCAAGGCCAAGCTTCTGTGACGGCTTTTGAACTCCGAATTACATTTGTGTTTACCCATTTTTTCGTCTTTCTTTCCTTATATAAAGGGGGTGTATGTGTGGGTGTGTACCCGTCTCGGCTGAGCCGCTTTCCTTGCGGCGCACTTTCGCCCTCCCTGTGTGCTTAAGTGTAACTGCACCTGTGCACTCCACCGCTGGCCTCCTTCTTGCGCTGCTCCACCCCTCGCACTCGGCGCTGCAAAGGGAAGCCTCACAGACAGAGACCCACCGCCCTTTGCAGCACGCCGCACGGGAAGGCGGAACAAAAACGGCGGGCAACGGCGCTCCCCCACCCGCAGTCGCAGAGAAAAAAAAACAAATACACCCCCATCGCCGCTGCGCCCGCCACCACATACTCCGTCCATGCGCAGGACGACAGAGGCGAGGCGAGGCGTGTCTTCTCCACATCATGATGCACCCACCCACGCCCAAACCCCGCAGTTCATCACAGCCCCAAACAAGACAAACACACAACAAACATACATAGATATATATATATATTAAAAACAATACAAAGGAACAAATACCACTACTAATCCTGCTTCAACACTGGCTCCGAAGGCTCCTCCCTCGCCGCCTCACCATCCGCGTTTTCATTTGCTGAAGATGCCTCTTCGGCCAGCCTCGCCCGGGTGAAGCGCGAAAATCGCCAGTGCACGGACACGGCGGCGAGTGTGGCGACCGCGTTGACGGCCATTAGGACAAACATCTGCTTCCGCACACACGAGGGCGCGTTGCATGAGGGGAACTCGCCACGCTTGCGCCCCTCCGCATCGTACATCCCTCCAAACAGAAAGCGGTTCAGCGCGATGGACGCAACTGCCCCGGAGGTGCGCATGAAGCTGTAGTGCTTGCCAATATCCTTGGCATACATAATCCGGGGGGCAATGATGCCTATACTCCAGGCAATACCGTTACTGAAGGACCCAAGCAAAAACGGCAGCAGCAAGGCTTTCCCAGATACCACACCAAAGAGGAAGTACGCCACCGCAAACATCAGGGGGGCAACGGGAAGCGCAATGGTCGTCAGAATTTTTGTCTTGCCTGCACGATTCCAAGCAGTCAGCTTCGTGTCGAAGTATCCCAGAGAGATACGCCCAATGGCGGTGCCCACAGACATGATGGCGATGTAAAGTGTCAGAGTTCGGCTGTCATACACGCCGTAGTTCGTGCTGCGGCTGATCTGTGCAGCGTTCATCTGCATCACTGGACCGGTGCCCCACATGCCAAAGCTAGTGAGCCACAGTGCCCACAGGTGGAAGGAGAACAAATGCGACCAGAAGGAGCTTTTGTACTGCGGCCACACCTTGGCCGGCTGCTTATTGTGGGGAGCCTTGTTTATTTCCACCTC